TTTATAACTGTTACTTTGAGTTATTTTTTAATTATCATTATTTTCTTTGGCTTGGTTTGGGTGGGGGGGGGGGGGAGGGAAGGTATTTGGTTGGGGGGTACAGGTGCTAGCCATAGAAAGAACAGTGTATTTATAAATACATATGTACCTACATAATTTGAGGGGGGGGGGGTATTTTCTTTTAAAATATTAAATTACCGCATCATTTATCTAATTTTGCTGGGGGAGGGGGGGGGGGGTTGCTGTAATGTGGGTTTTTTTTTCTTGTTTTTGTGTGTTTGTGTGCTTTATATTGTAAGAATACAGGTATTTTACGGTCTTATTTACTCAAATTTAGATGATTCAGCCGCTTGTCAGAATAGTGAAATTGTAAAAATGCAATCCTTAATTTTTCCTCCAAATATGCAATTTTCATTTAATCTTTATTTTTTGGCTGAACACTATTTGTATCCATTTAAGAGCACCTTCGTTTTGTGTGGTTTTACTGAAATGCGTTGATTAAAGGAAAATAATAGGTAAATTTAGCTTCCATGGACTCTTTAGCTTTATGCTTTATGGAAGTCACCACCACCTTGGCAGCCATACAACTTTTCCCTCCAGAAAGATAAACGCTACTCAATAAGAATATTATCATTCTTCCAACAAAAGAATCGAACCCGGACACTTTTGCATGCTGTAACGAAGTGCTCCTTGACCACCATTTCTGTGACAGCTGTAAGTCTTACTTGACCTTGACCTGAGCTGTGGGTGGTTGGCGGGTGTTCTGTCATCGTTTGCTTCTTCTTTCCTATCAAACATGTATCAATTGTCCTTATCTCTGCCCCTTCTTTTTTCGTTTTTGTTACTCTCTTGTAACACTTCTAATCTGAGGGAGGTTGGCGGGTGCCTTGGTGTTGTTTGCGCATTCTTTCCTATAAAAGAAATAGATATTATATAATCTGTATCTCGACTCCTACTTTCACTATGTTTGTAGATCTATTATAACACCTCTAATTTTCGGCACTAATAAGGTATATGACTTTATTGTGCTGTAAGTGCATTAAAACGTTTATTAAAACTAGAGTATGATGTTCTTCTCTATCTTTCTTTCTGCTTCTCCTCCTCCTTCCCTCATCAAGTACTCATTTGACCTTATGAAGTTGCGAGCACCGTGACATACTTTCCAATTTATGAAAAAATAATAATAACAAACAAAAAATGAAAAATAAAAAGCCTTCTCACCCCAACCCCAACACCTCCACCTCCTCCCTCCCTCCCCCCACCCCACCCCACTTGTGGATGGTTGGCGGGTGCTCCGTCTGCTTTGGTTTGCTCGTTCTTTCCAATTAAACATTTATACCACCCCCATCTCTTTATGTCGGGCTTGCTGGGATCTTCCTGCACAAAAAGGACCACCAACGATGTTTGAGTTGGATTTTTGTTGTTTTTGTTTTTTGTTGTTTTTGTTTATATTTTCTTGAGCTTTTTCAAAATCTCGACACGCCCAAAGTTCACTAACTTTTGTAGAGCCCTATTCATTGTAAATGAAAAACGGCAATTTATCGCACTATGGTGAATATGCAAATGAGGCAATTTTTAATCTTCTTTTTTCTTTTCACCGCCTTCAGCGGCATCCTCATATCATTTTTGCAGCTTTTATAAAAGTGCAAGTGTGCGCATCGTTATGAAATAAGCCGCTTGTCAGAATGGTAAAATTGTAGAAATAAAATCCATAATGTTTCCTTCAGTAAGGCAGTTTTCAGTGAATCTTTATTATGTGGCTGAACACTATTTGTGACCATTTAAGAACACATTGATTTTGTGTGGTTTTACTGAAATGCGTTGATTAAAGAAAAATAAAAGGCACATTTAACTTCTAAGGACTCCTTAGCTATGAATAATGGAAGTCACATCCAACGTTGGCAGCCATTTCCTCACTAATTTTACTTCCGAAACCAGGCAACACTCATCCCCTTCAATCCTTATTACTATTTAAGATACATGGATGTATTATATTTTTCGTAGAAGAAGGACAAACGAACAAGCTTTAAGATGCTGCCAATAGCTTCACATGCTAAAAAAACCCAACAACAACTGACGAGCGCATGAGTCCCTCGCATCCTGACACAAAGGTTTCTTGGCGTACGTGGGAACTTTGTGACACTTCTGAGTCTTGCATGAGCGAGTCCTGAGTCCGTGCTACAACCGTGAATTATAAGGATAATATGTGACAAGATATCGTGAAATCAAACGCTCACCAGTTGGGTTTTTTTGGGGGCATATCGCTACCTCAGAATTATGAAGTTTTGTCAGACACGTTTGACCATGTTGAGCTACTAAGACCATTAGGTCAGAAACCAAGTGTTAAATCTGTCAAGATTCGAAAAAGCTTGACATGTTGTGAAACTCGTAATATTTCACATAAAATTTATTAACTAAAACAAGGTACAGAGACGATACAACTTTGTAATTCTAGGGTCGTGATATCGAGTTATTGGTATCATATTGAAGCTTGCTCCTTTGTATTGCCTATGATGTAAAAATACCCATCTACCTTGAATATGAGTAGAGACGTTTGCAGTTGAAGGAGGTGGGGGATGCCTGATGTCAGAGGGAAAGCAATCCAGAAAATGGTCATCAAAGTTTGTTGACTTCAAAACATAAGTATTTTTGAAACTGAAAATCAATTCACCTTTTTCCTTTCCTTTCATCAGTGTTTTACAGTAAAGTCTACATAGAAATATACTTTTAAAATGGCACAAAATGTACTGTGTCATAAACATGTATGAAAATGATAGACATTGTCCAACAGTCCGGAAAAAGGCGGTTTACTCATTTCCGTCATTTTGACGAGAACCTGATTTCCCCACGATGCTACACGTACAAATAAATGTGTGAAGTGCACCCAATAAACCTGAACTTAAATATCCAAAAGGGGGAACTGTCATTGCTGCCATTCTTCGCATTCTACAGAAATAAAAATAGAATAACATTAAATATAGTTAAACAAGATAGCATAAAGTTGTTACAAATAAAGTGAAAATGTAAAAAAAAAAAAAAAGAAAAGAAAAGAAAAGAACCTAGAATAAAATTTAATGAAATTACGTAAAATAATATTTAAAAATAATAAAAATAAAAAGTAATAAATAAAACATTTTCTGCACTGGTGCGCACCTTGGATGCGCAAATGAAGGGCAAACACAAGACAGCCTTGCTGTATTCACGTTCTCACCCAATTTTTTTCTCCTTGCCCTTCACTTGGTTTAAAAAAGAGTCAACATTTTATGAATTCTGCATTGAATCGCAGTAACAAAAACGTATCCCCACCCAAAGTGCAATACGCATTTATCCCCATATTCCTTATTCCCTCCCCCCCCAAAAAAATAAATAAATAAATAAATGCCTCCTCCCCTCAATCCAACCCCTACCCGTCCCCACCCTCACAGGCACAACTGGTCTAAGCCACTTCTCCTCCCCACATAAAAAACAAAACAAAACAGCCCCCTTAAAAAAAACAGAACAAAATCGATCCTCTCCTCAAACTCCTCCTCCCCCTACCCTCAAACATGCAATGACACACACAGACATACACACACAAATACACACACAGACACACACACACACACAAAACACACAAACATGGCACCAACCACCTCTCAACCAACACACTACTATAATTACCTGCTCTATATTACGCTTACCCTCAACGAGAACTCCAACAAAAATACAACAACCTCGTTTCCACAATTCATGCCCCTCTTCTTTTCCAATATAATCCTCAAGCGATTAATGTGAATGATCATAACAGATCGAGTATCGATACAAATAAAAGCTACTGTCAAATCTAGAAATGTGTCTTATATTGACACCATAAATTCGAAATTGTGTTATTAAGATTCTTTAGCTCTCGATAATATGCAGAAAGAAAAAGAATTGTATATTTATATGGACAGTTTATTTCTTTATTATTATGATTTTTTTTGTGGTAAAGTGTTTTACGGCGCTCGCAACTGCATACGGTCATATGAGCGCGCGGGACACAGCTAATGTTTTCAGTTGGTAGGACATTTTGAATTTTGCCCCGGTGGCGGCCGAAGCCTACTCTGATCGATTTTAGAACCACGAAACGATCTTTAGCGTGCGCAACTTGCACACGGGCCCCCCGAGATTTTTCGCCCATATTATGACTGTTATGGATTAAAAGTAACATCGCTATGTAAATAGGTATATTATTATTATGATAGATAGATAGATAGATAGATAGATAGATAGATAGATAGATAGATAGATAGATAGATATATTGTTAGATAGATAGATAGATAGATAGATAGATAGATAGATAGATAGATAGATAGATAGATAGATAGATGTTGGATAGACAGACAGATAGATACATAGATAGATAAGAAGGAAAAACAAACAAAAGAGAAAAAATGAGCCAAGAGAGTGGACTTGGAAAAAAGTTCGGGGGGGGGGGGGTTGAAGGGTAGAGAGACATGTAAATAGACACTGGATTCGCACTTTAACTCTTTTAAAAGTTTATTGTATTAGCATAGAACAACCAAAATATCCCATTTTTATTTATATATATATATATATATATATATATATATATATATATATATATATATATATATATATATATATATATATATATATATATATATATATAAACCAGTAACAGCAATGTCTAAGTAACACTAAAGCAATCAAGCCTCTGAATCTCATTTTTTTAAAAGATATTCGTAACGAAGACAACAAGGGGAGCAACAACAATAAAAATCACGATTAAAAAGCAGTAACAGCATCAACAAGTTCTTAAAGCAACAACAACTGGATTGATGATTATAATATTGTCAATTACAATACTAATAACACAATAATGAACAACGTATAATAATAATAATAATAATAATAATAATAATAATAATAATAATAATAATAATAATAATAATAAAAATAATAATAAAAATAATAATAAATGATGATGACCAAAATGATAATAATATCGTGATGATGATGATAATGATGATGATCTTGATGATGGTGATTTTAAAATGTATACTATGTCATGAATGTGATCTCAGACCCAAGAATACAGTCTCAGTGAGCGGTTTAAGGTAAAGTATATCGTGGCTTGTAGATGGACAAGTCGGCCATTTTGTCTTTGATGACGTTATCTATAGCCTCGCTCTGGGCGACTGTCAGCCAGTTCTTCCAGTCTCCAACTTGACCTGGTAGGAAAAAAAGGGGGTGGGGTGGGGGAGGAGGTATCTATAGACATGACGCTTCCTTGGCGTTCAAAGTTATACTTGATGTGTTCATAGTTTCGAGAAATTCGATCTAAAAAAACAGAGATTCACAACATATTGTTCACCTTTATGGAATGCAGTAATTATTTTTTGTATCTTTAAAATGACCATGAATAGTCTTTTTATGTTGATAGAGAAGGGTTTTGACCTTATGCCCTTAGTAACTCAATCTGGCCAAAAATTCAGATAGAGCCTTAAAATTCGGAGGTAGCGAAGAGTTAAAGTATACTACACCCTGCACTGTCATGGCGCCACTCTTTATTCTCTATGCAAACACTTTGCTGCACTGGAAGGCACCATGGATGCTCAAATGAAGAACAAAATACAAATCCCGCTAGAGGAAAGAGGTTATAAATAGTACTATTATAAACTCTTTCCGCTATAGTCGAATTCGCGCCAAATGTTCCCTCTTGTCTTTTATTTAGTTCCAAAGTGAGTTAAATAGTGCGCTCCATAGTGAATCGAAATTACGCCACGAGTACACAATTTAACGTTTTCTAATACAATTTTTTGGTTGTACAACTTCTCAAGTGGATGTATCCTAAAGGGGTATAATTTTGCACAGGCCATGTGCCACAGAATGCCACTACTCTTTACACATCACTGACTTTCTAGGTGCCTTTGATGGTTTAAAAGTAAAGTCACCGTACTCGAAACCATAAGGTCGTGGGCTGAATCGCAAAAGGCGTCCGTCTATTGATTGTCCTTGGGAAAGGCACTCCACACAAATCTGTCTTACTTCTCCTAGATGGGAGTGGGTACCCGGTATAGACAGCTACAATTCCTTGTCATTTTTTATAGTGTTTGAGCTCAAAATCGTTTACTTGCACTGAATGCTATTTGGAAAAGGATACAGACGAGACTAGTGTAATATAAACTCATAATATAAAGCACAAAACAGAACAACCCCCCCCCCCCCTTACAAGAGTTCTACGGCACATGCTACACAGCACCGTCATATAAGTGTCGAATATTAAAGGTGTTACAGGAGAGTAACAAACGTGGGGAAAAAAATGAGGAGATATCAGAACGACAGATTATGTTTGATAGGAAAGAAGGAGTTTACCACATCAGAGCAACCGCCAACTGCCCACTAAACAAAAACTAGATTTTTGTCAGATACCTTGCTTTGTCTTGGGACGGCTGTACTGATGACTGTTTAAAAATTTTGAGTTTGAATTTCGACGTAATACCTCATAAGCAAATCAAATGGTACCAAAGATAAAGAAACTAGCTTTTTCGTTTAAGGGGTTTTAGTGGGTGTTGGCAAGGGACATCTAAAACACAATTTGGTTTTGTTCCTGACAAGAGCACCAGGACTGCTATAGTCAATGTAAGCGTTTTTTTTAAATTTTGTGTAAAACGTTTTAAAGCACGGAAAAGTTTGTATGTATGTTTCGTAGACTATTCAAAGGCTTTTGATAAGTTACAAATGATGAGCTCTATTAGAAGAGCTAGACATAGATGGAAAAGATCTAAAAATTGTTAAGAATTTGTTCTGGGATCAGGACATTGTTGTAAGAATTGATGGAAAATACAGCAAATATTAGAGGAATAGAAGGGAAGTGAGGCAAGTATGTCACCAGACCTCTTTAATATGATAAACAATAAAAACAAACTTTGGAAATATAGAAGAATGTCCAGTTCTAAATATATAAAAGGCAGAAATATTAACAACATCAGTTGTGCCAATCACTCAGGTTTTTTTTTATAGCAGATTCGGAAAAAGACCTTAAATGGCTTTTCGAGACTGTTGTAACGGAAAATGAACGCAAAGGGTTATTGTTGAATATGAACAAAACAGAGTGCGTGGTAATTTATTAATGACTCTGTTGATCCTATTTGTAAACTAATAAGCGAAGACGAAATTATCAATCCAGTTAAACAGTTTAAATATCTAGGGTATATGAAGACATGTGATGCCACACGTTCCACAGAAATAAAAACAAATAATAGCAATGGCTGAAGATAGTTTCAATATAAATTAGCCCAGTCCTGAAAAACAGAAACATATTAATCATTGCCAACATCATCAATGCTTTTCACCCCTGGCAGAGTACAGGCCACATACAAGCTCTTTCCATTTATCTCTATCCTCGGCCATCCTTCCTAGCTCATTCCAAGTGAGCTTCATCTCTCTCATGTACCTTTCCACACATTTCCTCCATGTTTCCTGTGGCCTCCCCGTGCCTCGTGCTCCCTGTGGGTTCCATTGCAGTGACTGTCTTGTGATGTTTCCGCTGGGCTTTCTGAAGGTGTGTCCCATCCAACGCCACTTTCTTGGTCCTATTTCTACTTCTATATTCTTTTGTGATGTCCTTTCCCTTAGCTCTCCATTTCCTATTCTATCCTGCCACTTAATTCTTAGGATACTCCTCATACATCTGTTGATGAAAGTCTGGACTTTATTCAACACTGTCTTTGTTGCCTTCCAATTTTCGAAGCCGTAGAGGAGCACAGACTTGACATTGGAATCAAAAAGTCGAATCTTGGTGTGCAGTGAGATGTTGCTTGCTTTCCAGACATTTGATAATTGATTGAAAGCTAACCTTACCTTGGCTGTTCTTGCTTTTACATCTGCCTCAGTTCCACCTTTACAATCGGTGACACTTCCAAGGTAGGTAAAGGAGTCCACTTCTTCTAGGGGATTTTCTTCCACTGTCACAGCAGGGCTTGACACTTTACCTAGCTTCACTACTTTTGACTTCCCCGGGTGTATACGTAGGCCAACACCCCTTGATAGGCTGTTGAGTTCCTTTGTCTTTTCTTGCATCTGAGCATGTGTGTGAGAGAACAGTGCAAGGTCATCGGCGAAGTCCAAGTCGTCCAGCTGCTGCCTAGGGGTCCACTGTATTCCATTTCGCTTGCCTCTGGTGGCTTCCTCTAGGATCCAGTCAATTGCAAGTATGAAGAGAAAAGGTGAGGGCCGGCATCCTTGTCGTACTCCTGTCTGTACCTGGAATGGTTCTGAGAGTTGTTCTTCGTGGAATACTTGGCAGTTTGTTCCATCATAGGTGGTCTTCACAAACTTGACGATTTTGTCAGGTATTCTGTAATGCCGCAGGAGTTTCCACAGAGTTTCCCTGTCCACGTTGTCAAATGCCTTTTCATAATCAATGAAGTTGACCACTAGTGGAGAATTCCATTGAAGCGATTGCTCAACAATGATGCGAAAGGTAGCGATCTGGTCCACACATGATCGGTTTTTGCGGAAACCTGGCTGGTTTCCTCTGAGCTTCTCATCTGTTACCACCTTAATTCTCTCCAGGAGTATCCTATTAAAGACTTTCTCAGGTATGGACAGGAGTGTTATGCCACTGTAGTTGTTACAATTACTGAAGTCTCCTTTCCTTGGCAGCTTGATTAGGTGGCCTTCCTTCCAGTCCGATGGTATTTCCTCTTCTTGCCAAACCTTTCCGAATAGAGCATAGAGAATTTTGACTGATGTGTCTTTATCTGCTTTAAAGAGGCCCACGTGGGCTACTCGCTGATTAAACTAATCCTCCCCAAAAGACAGATGTGCTTTCTGGGACACCTGGATAGACAGAAATGCTTAGAACATCTAGCTCTCACAGGCAAAATTAAAGGCTAAAAGAGGCAGTGGTAGACACAGAGCCACCTTCATGGAGAGCCTAAACATAGGGTGACGAGGAAAAATTAAAATAATATAACTTTTTCGAGTGCACCCGAGCAAAGAAATGAATGGAGATCGGTGATCGCTGATGTCTGTCCTCGATCTAGCATTTGATGATGACACCAGAAATGCTGGTCGACAAAACGTCTTTTTCTTACCCTTCCTGACCTTGAATCTCCACCCACGATTGTTGTAATCGTCCTTCATCTTGTTGACCTGAGTGACGTCACAGATTCCCTCCACCAGACTGTCAGTGACGGAGATACCCAGGAACTCTGACAGTCGCTGGATCTCTCGTGGCAGGTCCTGGACGCGGAAGAAAGAAGGGAATGATTGTGATTTTGCAAAAACAAAGCAATGAGTTTGATTATAATATAGAAAGAGATTCATTGTGTTTTGGAGTTAGGATACTGATCGTAATGTCACAGAAATAAGAGGATAATTATGAGATGGAAATAAGAGATTGGTTGTGTAGCATTATGAAGATAATAATTATATTATCAAAGTAAAAAGATAATTATTGGAATCTGGGAATGACAGAAAGAGGTGATAAATAATTAAGACAATGCTTGATATACAGAAATAAGAGAATACACATAAGCACTTGAAATAAGAGAATGGTTGTGCAATATAATTATCAGCAATGATAGTGAATATAAGAATTAAGTCAATGCTTTAGCAACAGAAATAAGAAATAAGAGCAGGATTGTGATTTTTAAAAATGATGATTGTCCAATAGAAATATGAAAATGATTGTAATAAAAAGGTGAAAAAATTATCGTCCAATAGAAAAAGGATTGTGCAATTTAAAAAAGAACACGATTGCAACCAGTAGAAATACTACAATAATTATAGAAAAGAAATGTTAAATTGATCGTCTGCAATAAATATTGTGAAGTAGAAATAGGAAGTAAAGCAGAAAAATGTGGTGATTGTGATATAGAAATAGGAGACATTTTGTGCAATTGAAATATGAGAAATAAATTGCAATAAAAATAGGAAAAATATTGTGCAATAGAAATAGAAGAAAAAGCTCTCACTGGCAAAATAGAGGGCAAGCGAGGCAGGGGTAGGCCCAGAACAACATACTTAGGGAACCTAAACAAATGGGTAACAGGGAAAGAT